CATCGGCTTCCCATCAACAAAACCTTTCACATATAAAGCTTTTAATCGCCGATGCTTGACTGGTTTATCAAATATAGCCTGCTGTATAACCGTCAGCTTGCCAACTATCTCTTCATACTCTGATTCATCGAAATCTGAATAAACTTCTTGATCTATCAGAGCTCTGAATTGTGATGGCAACAGAAAAGTCATTTGAATATTAGCCGATGGTTGCTTTCTATCGGCCGTTTGCTTAGCACGCCATATTTGAGGTTTACTAGATCCTTGTGCCTGCTCCAACTCTCTATTCCTTAGGCGTTGCACCCTTCTCTTCTGGCTTCTTGTCAAACCTCTTGGACACCAATGGCCTTCCTGCCAAACATATTCTCTCTCGTTACTCTCTTCTTCATAATCAGCCCAATTTTGATCAACAACTCTTTTTCTAAGCCGACTATGAACACTTCCATTTTTTAAGCGCCGGTCCATGTTATTATGACGATACACATCTTGAGCATGAATAGACCGGCGACTGGTTTGAGATTGTCTAAACTCCCAATATTTATCGCTGCACTTTGGACAGTTATTCCTGGTAGGCAACTTCAAACCTTCGTTCCAGCAATGTCTGAAGAAAGAACAATTCTAATGTGATTCAGCTTAATTTCTTTCATATCTCTCTTTTTCCTGTTGACGCTGGTGTTCTTGCTCTTCTAACCAACGCTGATAATCCTTTTCCTTCTGTCGTTGTCATTTATTCAATAGAATTTGAGATATAACCCATGGCTTTGTCGCCCCTTCTTTTGACGTTTCTCCCTGCTCATATCGGCTCTTTTGCTTGTCGCGACATCTTTTAATTTCCTTGTGTTCATCGGCCGATATTTGCTTCTCGGGATCAACTGTTCTAGCTTCTCTTGATTTGGTCGATGTTAGGACCTTAGTCTTTCCATTGAGCAGCCTAGCTTTGACCATGTTTTGATCTCCTAGGACAGGATTATCATCAACTTTAATTTTCTGAGGCATATCAAATTTGAGTCTTCCTTGCTGAATAGCCCTCTGTATATGCTGCCAGAAAAATCTTCATTCATTAGTGGAATGAGAAGTAGCGTTATAGAACTTGCAGAACTTCTTATTCTTCAACTAATCAGGGGGCAACATAACATGATTATTGGGCAACTTGATCTGTCCCTTCTCAAGCAAGAAATCAAAGAGCTTGTCTGATTTTGTGACATCAAAGTCATAGCTCTCCTTGACTCCTCTTCCCCAAGGATTTGTCACCATTACTGTCTTTTTGCCCCAATTCCATTCGGCTATGGCAACTTCTTCTTCTTCATCTTCATAGCCATCATAGACTAAATATGGATTATAAGCTTTGGCCACTGTGGTACTCTTCTGGAATTGGGTATCTCTGCGCATACTCTGGAATTAGTTATTGAGTGCCACCACTCATTGAGCCAATTGACCCAAGTTGTCAAATTCTTGTCCTAGCAGTTTTTCTTTCCATGTTGGCAGCATCCCTTGAACGGCCAAAGCGGCTAGTTGATCATCAGCCAAATTTAATGAGAAGCATAAATTCCTAGTCTCTCGGAATCTCTAAAGAAACTCAGTGCCCGATTCATTAGTGTTCTGCCTTATAGTTGTCAAATTGGTAATATTCTTTTCTCCAGTCCTAGTATAAAAATATGTATGAAATTTCTTTTCTAGGTCAGCTCAATTGGTAATGGAGTTGACTAGCAGTGATGAAAACCAAGTGAAGGCTGGCCCTGATAGTGACAGGGAGAAGAAACGAACTCGATGGGCCTCCTCAACAGATGCCTCGCTCAATTGTGTAACATACCAACTGACATGTTCTATTGTGCTTGTCTGTCTTGGCTAGTGAACTTAGCAAACACTGGAAGCCTATAATTTGCAGGAAGAGTGACCAAATCATACCATTCTGGATATGGGCATTTGTACGAAAAGGTCAGCCCTTTTGGCTTTAGACCAAACTGATTCTTTATCATCTCGATCACCTTTAGCAACAACTCGTCAGCATGTGAATTTGGATTTCTCGGCACCTACGAACCCATCTGTGGATTGAAATCCCATGTGCCTTGATATCCTGGATTTGGAATCATGTGAAGGGTGTTGTAATCTGTGCCATAATGATACCCTTGTAGAATCTCTATCTGCTAGGTCATTTGCTGGTTTGCTGCTTGAAGTCTCTGATTATAGACATGAGGATCTATATCTCTACGGATCTTTTGAATTGATGGTGTTATTTTTTGAGCCGACGATGGTATGTGGCCTGATGTGCCAAAATTAATCACCTGGTTCTGACCTTGCCTAGTCGGCTGTTGCACATGCTGCACTAACGGTCTAGGATTATACTGTATCTGATTCATAGTAGTACCTTGAGCTTGTTCAGATGAACTCTGAACTACCTGGACATCATCATTACCATCTGGTGCTTCTTCTTGATGGCTAGTACCGACTTGATTAGTCCCTTGGGTTGATGGGTGTGGAATGTTGTAATAAGCCGGCTCAACCTGACCAACTGGAAACCTATGAAACACCTCTTTCATGGCGTCATGGAATGTGTCCAAGAAAGCTTCATTATGGCTTGATATGGCATCACGAATGGATTTGTTTACAGCTTTTGTGAAGAAACGCCTATCTTCAGCTTCATCTGCATTTGTCTGCCCATGCAATAGAACTCTTGGCAGTGGATATTTCTGAACAATTGTATTATCACGTGTTTTGGTGTAGGACAACAAACACTTGTTCTGAAATTCTTCTATAGCTTTGCTGATGACACCTTTATCTCCATCAGGTAGGTCTTCGTAATGTACCATAAGGATGTCATTGTTGTTGTAAACCGTCATGACGATTATGGGGTCCCACTGGGCATGCCAGAACGTGTGTCGGCACAAAATTTTGTCCCGTTCCGAGGGCACATGAGCAAGCCAAAAGGGTCTGCTCGATGGAGTTGTAAATCCGCCTGGCTTCAACGCAGGGGTGGTCGATCCTGCGTACTCCTCCCAAGCCGTGTCAGTCAATTTGACCCTGCAATTGATAAGGAGAGAAAGCTAATCAATAATTTAAGGCAAAACATGCTGGTGTTGCCAGCGGCTCTGAGAGCCGATATGGAAGGAGATCGACTAAATAGTCGATTCCAGCATATTCATAAGAATAAGTCAGTTAAAGCTCATGGGGTTGTGTAAGAAAAATCGGTTATCATTTAGGATGAATATCGTTATTTAAACAAATATTAGTCAATGGCAATAGGATGTCAACAATGATTAGTTTATGCTAAGCCAATGACTGCAAGTAACCAAATCTCTTTTGTATAAAGGAGCAGCTCATCATCATTTAACCATTTAATAAAGATAAATCTAATGAACATATTAAATCTCATCTATCGCTATGACCAGTGGGGCATGAGGCAGAATCATGCAGGCCATAGAAACAATAATAGATTTGATGACCCTAACTCATTACTAATATCAGTGGGGCATGAGGTAGAATCATACAGGCCGTAATACAATAATAAGATCATGGGGCTAACACATCTTTCAACCTATCTTTACTTCAATGGTCTCGTGACATGAACTGCATATGTGAAAGCACTCGATATCGGCTAAAACAGTCGATTCAGGCATAGCACATAGTTAAGGTCATGCCCTATCAGAAACAAATCTACCAAGTAACGATCCCCACTCCACAGTGCTAATAGTGGGGTGTGAAGCAGAATCACATAGGCCGTGATAACGGACCATGGAACGGTTTTCGTTAGTCAATAGATCTATTCAAGACCAGACATGCCTTAACCGCACGCTATGCACGATCAAGATTGACATAAAACAACCGATAAAACATAACTCAACGTTTAAAGTACAGATTAGATCAGTTTAGATTAACAAACGATGGGTTAAATAGGATATAAGGCCCATCTAGATCAATCCCAATCGGGCGAAGGGATATTGCTATAATTAAATAAATAATGAAAGTAATAAGCAATATCGGTAACTTAATGAATCTATCCGAAGGAACGCCACCCTTAGATAGAGTTGATAACTTGACCTTAATCTAGTTCGAGCAGTGGAGGTCGACCGGATCGATGCAGCCGTACTTGAACTAAACAAGAATTGATAACTAGCTTATACCAGAGTCACAGTGGAGGTCGACCAGATCGATGCAGCCATACGAATAGAAGTATAAGCCATGACGGTACTTACAGACAAGCCAGAGGTCGACCGGACCGATGCAGCCCTGCTCGCTGAAGAACTCGCAGAGATATACTCTACTCCTATTCCTAAGGGGTGGCTGGAGCCGAAAAAAGTAAGGCCCTGTTTGGTGCAGCGTATGCTCAGCTTCTGAGCAGAATAAGCAAGTAATCCCGCACAAACGGCCCGCGTTCGGTGTCCAGTCGCGAACGCGCTTCCTTGATCTCCTGTCGCCCGCAGCGTATCCGAAAAAGTGAGCCTTACCCCGCATTTCCGAAATCACATCGGCTTTTCCTCTCCATGCCCCTCCCTCCCTCCCTCCCGACACCGTGCTCCCGTTCGCTCCCTCCCCGGCGCCGCCTGCCATCCCCCAACGCCTGCTCGCCCGGCCCTCCCTCCTCTCTCCAGATCCGCCGCCGCCTCCCATTCCCCAACCCCTGCTCGCCACCCATTCCCTCCCCTCGGCCGGATCTGAAGGAAGGGCCTCCCATCCACCTCCACCGGTGCTCCAGCCAGGGCGCCATCATCCCTCCCCACCGCCTGCGCCAGAGCCATCATCCCTCCCCTCCCCCTCCGCAGAGGACCAGTCTGGGCGTCGGTGCTCCTCCCCAGGCGTGGCACTGGGTTGGGAAGGGATCCTGTGACCGGATGTATCTCTGCCAGTGATGAATGGTGGAAAAAACAAAATGCGGTGAGTAGTTAAGATGTCATCTTTTGTATTTTAGTACTCAACGGCATGTCATCCTCTAATTGTTATCATTTAATGTTTCAGGCTATGCCGGATGTATAAGTTTCAAAACTGCAGTTCTTGAGCACGAGGAAATGATGCGGATAATGTTTGATGCTATTAGTGTGACTAATGAGACATCCTATGTTCCTAGAAGTGGTCCTGATGATGGAGAGGGTGAGGAGCATGAGGCCGGTCATGGTGATGGTGATAGTGAGAGAGTCGAAGGGAGAGGTTCACCACATGTCACACCAAATGCTAACAAAAGGCCAGCTCAAGGTTCCCCATTTGGAAAGAAAAAGAAGACATATAGAGATCAACTTATGAAGAGGTTGGTCGACACATATGAGAAGAAGGTCCAAAGTAGTAAAAATTCAGCAACTTCTCACGCGGTTGATCATGTTAGAGATGAGATTGGGGCTATGTTGGAGCAAGTCATTAACGATGGTGCTGAAGAAGGGAGTGATGAACACTACTATGCCACCCAATTGCTTAAGAAAAAGGAAAACCGTGATGTGTTTGTTACTTTAGTGTTGTTATGTAGTAGTAAAATAAATTGTTCAGTTCCAGACATTATTTGATGAAAATTTAGTGTTGTAATGGCTACATTATTTGATGATTTATGTCATGACTTTGCTTGTGCGAATAATTATTTCTGTGTATATGCTTCCTCTATTCCTTTGCTCATGCTTCATAATGTGTACCTATTTTAGGTGCTGAAATCAATATGAGCATCTCCAGTGATGAGGATGCAAGTCAGGATGAATCGGGTACTGATGAGGATTTCATGGTTGCATATATTGCAATGGAATTGATGGGGTCAACAAACAGTGTTGCAAAGAACAAGGAGGTGGTTCCGGATGTACTAGTCATGACAGGGATATAATGGGTTGAAATCCAACTAAATGATAGAGTGCAGTGCTACAACATGTTTAGAATGACAAGGTCAGTGTTCCATCGCCTTCGTCGGACTTTGGTTCAGAATTATGGCTTGAGATCAACTAATGATATTTGTACCAAGGAAGCCTTAGGCTTGTTTTTGTGGACATGTAGTGCACCTCAATCGTTTAGACAAGTTGCAAATAGGTTTGGTCATTCTTTAGAAACTATCAGTAGAAAGTTTAGTGAGGTACTTGACTCAATTTGTAGACTGTATATTGACATCATAAGACCTAAGGATCCACACTTTGGTACAATTCATCCAAAACTGCAGCAAGCTAGGTTCTGGCCTCATTTCAACGATTGCATAGGCGCCATTGATGGTACACACATACCTGTAACTGTACCAAAAAGTGAAAAGGAAAAATACATTGGACGACATGGTTATGCTTCACAAAATGTCATGGCGGTTTGTGACTTCGATATGCGGTTCACATTTGTTGTCACAGGTTGGGCTGGATCTGCTCATGACACTCGGGTATTTTTGGACACTTTAGTCACCTACAAGGATAAATTTCCACATCCACCTAAAGGCAAGTATTACCTTGTTGATTCTGGGTATCCTAATAGAAAAGGATATCTAGCACCTTACAAGGGACAAAGGTATCATGTGCCTGAATGGCAACATGGTCGTCATGCAGTAGGATCAAAGGAGGTGTTCAACTATGCTCATGCATCCCTCCAAAATGTGATTGAGCGGTCATTTGGAGTTCTCAAGATGAAGTGGCGCACTCTCTTGCAGTTACCTAGCTATCCAATTGAGAAGCAATCAAAGATTATCATTACTTGCATGGCTCTTCATAATTTCATTAGAGACAATGCCATATATGATGAACATTTTGAAACCTATGTGGAAGACAGTAGTGGTGTTGGGTCCCAACTTCCTTCAGCTGATGGTGGTGGTTCGGCGGATGATATGAACATGTGTGCTTTCCGTGATGCTATTGCTAACGCGTTGGTTGGGTGATTCATTGTTAGAAACTTAAGTATTTTGTAGCAATTACATTACCCAAATGGATGTTATTTTCGACTATTATTGTACATTGCAACTTAATGGAGCCATATTGCTATCTGAAACTTTAAAAATATTCCCACCATTGTCTTCAGATCATTGTGACGAGTCAAAAGAGGTATAATCAGCCGCAGGGGTACATAGGTCAATTTACATCCAGGACAGATAATCTACCATAAATAATCAGGACAGCCAAACGCCTAGCTTATTCAGACAGCAGATTCTTTAGATCATGGCTTATCAGATAAGCCCGCTCAGCTTATAAGCGAGACTCAGAAAAGCTAAAACAAACAGGCGCTAAGTAACTTGTATTTGATTGATTGTGTGTCTTTTACAATAGCCGGGGTCCAATATTTATACCCTGGAGCCCAAACATGAATCCTACTCGAGCACGACTCATTACAATCTTCGGCATAGAAGAAAATATTCCTAATTTAAGATAACTTGGACCCTAATCTTTCCCTTTTTGTAGAGTTCGATATGTAGTTTCCTAATTTAAGATAACTTGGACCCTAATCAGTTGATATCGATCCTCATGCAATCGATTCCTTGATCGACATAATTTTGGAAGCTTCGAGTTTCCACGTTTTTCTCTCCAAATTTTGGTGTAAACAGTGCTAACTTGATTAAGGGAACACAAGTTGTATGCCAAATTTAGCAAGTGTGAGTTTTGGTTGGATCGAGTGCAGTTTTTGAGACATGTTTTGACACCTAAAGGTATCTCTGTAGACCCAAGCAAGGTGCAAGATGTGTTAAATTAGACGTATCCGAAGTCAGTGCATCAGATCTGTCAGCTCCTTGGTCTTGCTGGTTATTATCGGCGCTTCATTCCTGACTTCTCCAAAATAGCTCAACCAATGATCAAGTTGCTCTAGAAAGATGTCAAGTTTGTATGGAGTCCGGCTTGTGAAGGAGCTTTCCAAGCCCAGAAGGAATTTCTTACCTCTGCTCCTGTTCTTGCCCAACCAGATATTGACAAGCCATTTGATGTGTATTGTGATGCCTCAAGGACTAGATTGGGATGCGTGCTTATGCAGGATGGACGTGTGATAGCTTATGCTTCACGCCAGCTGAAAAAGCACGAGGTGAATTATCCCACCCAAGATTTAGAGTTGGCTGCTGTGGTGTACGCTCTAAAAATTTGGAGGCATTATTTGTTGGGAAATAAAGTGCATATTTATATGGATTACAAGAGCCTCAAATATATTTTCACTCAGTCCGAGCTGAACATGAGGCAACGGAGATGGTTGGAGCTAATCAAGGATTATAATTTGGAGGTTCATTGCCATCTTGGAAAAGCTAATGTGATAGCTGATGCTTTGAGCCGGAAGTCGTATCAAGTTGAAGAAGCACCTTTGTCTCTCAACCATGCTGAGGTGCTAGCCCATATTGCTCTAGTCTCGAATTTACTTGAGCAAATTATTATAGAGCAAAGGCAAGATGTTTCAGAAATCCAACATATCAAGGAGTTAATTGCCGAAGGGCATGGTCCACATTTTAGTATTGATAATCAAGGTGTAGTGAGGTTCAAGAACATATTGGTTGTTCCGTCAAGTGATAAGCTTAGAAGAAAGATTTTGGATGAAGTTCATCATTCCAAGTTGTCCATCCATCCAGGAAGTAACAAGATATACCATGATTTGCACCACTTTTATTGGTGGTCAAATATGAAGCAGGATATCACCAAGTACGTCGCAGAATGCGACACTTGTGGAAGAGTTAAGGCAGACCATATGCGTACACCGGGATTTTTGCAGCCCTTGTCTATCCCTGTTTAGAAATAGGAGGATATTTCCATGGACTTTGTTGTGGGTTTTCCCCGCACGGCAAAGGGGTATGACTCTATTTGGGTCATTGAGGATCACCTTACTAAGTCCGCTCATTTTCTCTCGGTAGATACCAGATATTCAGCCAAGAAGTATGCCAAGTTTTATTTTGATCGGATTGTGATCCTACATGGAGTTCCTCTTACTATCGTCTCTAATAAAGGGTCAGTCTTTGTCTCTCATTTTTTGGAGCAACTCCAGAAATGTCTTGGTACTAGTCTCCTCAGAAGTTTAGCTTATCATCCGCAAACTGACTGCCAAATAGAAAGGGTAAACCAGGTACTTGAGGATATATTGAGAGCTTGTGCCATTTCTTTTCCTGAAAAGTGGGACGAATGCTTGACTCTAGCTGAGTTTTCTTATAACAATAGCTATCAAGAAAGCATTTGTATGGCACCTTTTGCGGCCCTATATGGCAAGAAATGTAGAACACCTCTTAACTGGGTTGAGGTGGGTGATAGTGGATGTTTTGGGCCTGATTTTATCAAAGAAGCTCGAGAGCAAGTCAGTATTATTCAGAGCCATTCAAACGCAGCTCAAAGCTGTCAGAAAACTTATGCGGACAAGCGAAGAAGGCCCTTGCAATTTGAAGTTGGTGATCATGTGTATCTCAATGTGTCACCCATGAGAGGGGTGCATTGATTTGGCGTCCGTGGGAAGCTAGCCCCTCGCTATGTTGGACCTTACAAGATTTTGGCCCGGTGTGGTTCTGCTGTCTACCGTATCCAGCTCCTAGATATTTTGTCAGCAGTGCATAATATCTTTCATGTTTCCCAATTAAAGAAATATTTGCGGGTCCCCGATGAAGCGGTAGAAATTGAAGGACTTCCTCTCTAGCCCGACTTGTCTTATATTGAGCATCCTGTTAAGATCTTAGATGAAAAAGAAAGAGTAACTAGAAACAATGTGGCAAAGTTTTATAAAGTTTAGTGGCAAAATCACTCGAAGGACGAAGCAACATGGGAGCAAGAAAGCTATATCTTGAAGCATTATCTCCACCTTCTTTCTAGTTCACCGAGGTAATTATTTAAATTGGGATTTATTTCTTATCTCTTTTTCCATACTAGGCACATAAAATCTCGGGACGAGATTTTGTTTAAGGAAGGTAGATTTGTAACACCCTTAGTGTTACACCATAAATCATTTATTAAAACATGTCATGAGCATCATGTTTATGTGTTAATGCAAGTGATAAAGCGTGTAGATCAATTTCTGTAACTCGAAACGATCAACTAAAATGCGGAGCGAAAGTTGATTCAATAGTCATGTTATATCACTTAGGGTTTAAAACCAATTTTTATTAAGTAAAAATGCTATAGAACATGTGTGTGATACTTAAATAAAGTTTGAAGTACAAACTTTGTAGATGACAGTGAAATACTTGCGGTCGAAAAATGATATTACTAGCTAATATTTCCATTAGCTTAGAAATTGCAAATGAAAATCAAATTCAGCTAAAAAACTTAGAAATTTTCAAGTCTGCCGACTGCTAGACAGTGCTATATTTAGCAATTTATTGTGAGAGATTGGGTTAAGGAGTAGGGTAGTATTATGGCTAGTTTTAGTAGCCTAATAAACCCTCTAAGGTATAGCAAAAGTGGTTTGGGCATTGGATCAACGGTTTAGACGTCTTGAACGCTTTAAAATCCATGCATAACATGAACTCGGGTCGTCTTCTTATGTTGGGCACAGTCACCAGGCCGTCCTGCCCTGACGTCACGGTGTCGGTGCACTGGGCGCACACGCACGCGCGCACGTGGCCACGCTGGTTGGTTGCTGCTGTCGTAGCCTGGCCCCGGTGGGCACGTCGCAAGCCGCCAACTGTGAGCCGCCGCGCCCACCGCTCACCTGCGCCTGGTCGTCCTACCACTATGCTGTGCTACCCCCGCTGCCATCGTGCCACCTAGACTTGGTCGAGGCCGGCCGCAGCGAGCCGCTGGCCCTGCGCCCTGCTGCTCTACCTCGCACTGCCATTTGGGTGCCGTCGTGGCCTTGCTACGCTACCATCGTGTCCACACTGCCGGCACTACTCACGTCGCGATGCTACCGTTGCCGTCGTGTCGTCATCGCGTCCACGCTGATCCGCTGCACCTCTACACTTTTGCTAGC